CCAGGACTGTAAACATCACCACCCATCCTTCAGGTGCAGGCACTGTACTTCCACCTCCAGGACTGTAAATCACACCTTCCTTCAGAGTGCAGGCAAATGTACTTCCCACCTCCAGGACCTGTAACATCACCCCCCACCTTCAGAGTGCAAGGGACTGTACTTCCCACCTCCCAGGACTTAACATCCACCCATCCTTCAGAGTGCAGGCACTGTACTTCCCACCTCCAGGACTGTAACATCACCACCATCTCCTAGAGTGCAGGCACTGTTTCTTCCCCCTCCAGGACGTAACATCACCACCCATCCTTCAGAGTGCAGGCACTGTACTTCCCACTCCCCGGACTGTAACTCCCAAACCATCCTTTAGATTTCAGGCACTTTACTTCCCACCCCCAGGACTTAACATCCCCCCCACCTTCAGAGTGCAGGCATGACTTCCCACCCCAGGAGAAACATCACCAAACCCTTTCCTTCAGGAGTGCAGGTACTGTACTTCCCACCTCCAGGACTAAAAAAACAACCCCCCCCCCATCCTCAGAGTGCAGGCCTGTACTTCCCCCCTCCAGGACTATAACATCACCACCCATCCTTCAGAGTGCAGGCACTTGTACTTCCACCTCCAGGACTTAACATCACCACCCATCCTTCAGAGTGCAGGCACTGTACTTCCCACCCCCAGGACTTAACATCCACCCATCCTTCAGAGTGCAGGCCACTGTAAATTCCCACCCTCCAGGATATAACATCACCACCCATCCTCGAGTGCAGGCACTGTACTTCCCACCTCCAGGACTGTAACATCACCACCCATCCTTCAGAGTGCAGGCACTGTATTCCCACCTCCAGGACTTAACATCACCCCCCATCCTTCAGAGTGCAGGCACTGTATTCCCCCTCCAGGAACTTAACATCACCACCCATCCCCTTCAGAATGCAGGCACTGTATTCCACCTCCAGGACTATAACATCACCAAACCCCTCCTTCAGATGCAGGCACTGTACTTCCACCTCCAGGACTAAACATCACCCCCCCTCCTTCAGAGTGCAGGCACTGTACTTCCCACTCCAGGGGCTATAACATCCCCCACCCATCCTTCAGAGTGCAGGCACTGGGACTTCCCACCTCCAGGACTATAAACATCACCACCATCCTTCAGAGTGCAGGGACGTACTTCCCACCTCCAGGACTATAACATCCCCACCCCTCCTTCAGGTGCAGGCACTGTACTTCCCACCTCAGGACTTAACATCACCCCATCCTTCAGAGTGCAGGCACTGTACTTCCCACCTCCAGGACTATAAAATCACCACAATCCTTCAGAGTGCAGGCACTGTACTTCCCACCTCCAGGACTTAAACATCACCACCCATCCTTCAGAGTGCAGGCACTGTACTTCCACCCCCAGGACTATAACATCACCACCCATCCTTCAGAGTGCAGGCACTGTACTTCCCACCTCCAGGACTATAACATCACCACCCATCCTTCAGAGTGCAGGCACTGTACTTCCCACCTCCAGGACTATAACATCACCACCCATCCTTCAGAGTGCAGGCACTGTACTTCCCCTCCAGGACTTTAAATTTACCACCCATCCTTCAGAGTGCAGGCACTGTACTTTCCCCCCTCCAGGACTATAACATCACCACCCATCCTTCAGAGTGCAGGCACTGTACTTCCCACCTCCAGGACTTAACATCACCACCCATCCTTCAGAGTGCAGGCACGTAACTTCCCACCTCCAGGACTTAACATCCCACCCCTCCTTCAGAGTGCAGGCACTGTACTTCCCACCTCCAGGACTATAACATCACCACCCATCCTTCAGAGTGCAGGCACTGTACTTCCCACCTCCAGGACTGTAACATCACCACCCATCCTTCAGAGTGCAGGCACTGTACTTCCCCCTCCAGGATTTATAACATCAACCCATCCTTCAGAGTGCAGGCACTGTACTTCCCACCTCCAGGACTGTAACATCACCACCCATCCTTCAGAGTGCAGGCACTGTACTTCCCACCTCCAGGACTATAACATCACCACCCATCCTTCAGAGTGCAGGCACTGTACTTCCCACCTCCAGGACTATAACATCACCACCCATCCTTCAGAGTGCAGGCACTGTACTTTTCAATTATATGTTAACACTGTACATAACACAGTTTATATGTTGACATCCTATGTTTACATTATCAATACAGTGTCTGGCTTGTATAGGAATATATCATCAATATACACAAACATTGCAATTATTACTCATACTTAAAAGTGAAAGGTTCTTCATCCACCTCCCCTTCCTCAGATCAAACCTGATTGCCTCTCATTCCTTAGCCACTGTATGGCCCCTGTGTGTTTAGCACTTAGTTATGATTATAGTAGTTTTATATAGAGTATAATTTTTATATAATAGTGATAAGTGCTAAATCTATAAGTATCATACAAGACGTGGGGAAATAGGACATAATCACGTATAACCTAAGAGAAGAGTATCTCTGATGCCAGTATATAAGCGACAATATTCCTGCCTGTGCTTCAGATTCTTTAAGACTACGGTGGTCTTCACTAACTCCAAGACAACAGTGGTCTTCACCAAGTGCAAGGCTAAGGGACTGATTACCTCATCTTTTGTATATTACCTGCAGAGAATATTACCTGGACAGAGTTCCGGGGGTCAACGCCCCCACGGCCCGGTCTGTGACCAGGCCTCATGGTGGATCAGGGCCTGATCAACCAGGCTGTTACTGCTGGCTGCATGCAATCCAATGTACAAACCACAGCCTGGCTGGTCAGGTACCAACTTTAGGTGCTTCTCCAGTGCCTGCTTGAAGACAGCCAGGGGTCTATTGGTAATCCCCCTTATGTATGCTGGGAGGCAATTGAACAGTCTTGGGCCCCTGACACTTATTGTGTTGTCTCTTAACGTGCTAGTGACACCCCTGCTTTTCATTGGGGGGATGTTGCATCGTCTGCCAAGTCTTTTGCTTTCGTAGGGAGTGATTTTCGTGTGCAAGTTTGGTACTAGTCCCTCTAGGATTTTCCAGGTGTATATAATCATGTATCTCTAACACCTGCATTCCAGGGAATACAGGTTCAGGAGCTTCAAGCGCTCCCAGTAATTGAGGTGTTTTATCTCCGTTATGCGCGCCGTGAAGGTTCTCTGTACATTTTCTAGGTTAGCAATTTCACCTGCCTTGAAAGGTGCTGTTAGAGTGCAGCAATATTCCAGCCTAGATAGAACAAGTGACCTGAAGAGTGTCATCATGGGCTTGGCCTCCCTAGTTTTGAAGGTTCTCATTATCCATCCTGTCATTTTTCTAGCAGATGCGATTGATACAACGTTATGGTCCTTGAAGGTGAGATCCTCCGACATGATCACTCCCAGGTCTTTGACATTAGTTTTTCGCTCTATTGTGTGGTTGGAATTTGTTTTATACTTTAATTAAGTTTTAACTTCCTCACGTTTACCATATCGGAGTAAATGAAATTTCTCATCGTTGAACTTCATACTGTTTTCTGCAGCCCATTGAAAGATTTGGTTAATGTCCGCCTGGAGCCTTGCAGTGTCTGCAATGGAAGACACTGTCATGCAGATTCGGGTGTCATCTGAAAAGGAAGACATGGTGCTGTGGCTGACATCCTTGTCTATGTCAGATATGAGGATGAGGAACAAGATGGGAGCGAGTACTGTGCCCTGCGAAACAGAGCTTTTCACCGTAGCCGACTCAGACTTTACTCTGTTGACTACTACTCTTTGTGTTCTATTTGTCAGAATATTATAGATCCATCTGCCAACTTTTCCTGTTATTCCTTTAGCCCACATTTTGTGCACTATTATGCCATGGTCACACTTGTTGAAGGCTTTTGCAAAGTCTGTGTATATTACATCTGCATTCTTTTTATCTTCTAATGCAGATATCTAGGACCTTGTCGTAGTGATCCAGTAGTTGAGACAGACAGGAGCAACCTGCTCTAAACCCATGTTGCCCTGGGTTGTGTAATTGATGAGTATCTAGATGGGTGGTGATCTTGCTTTTTAGGACCCTTTCAAAGATTTTTATGATATGGGATATTATCGCTATCAGTCTGTAGTTCTTTGCTATTGCTTCACTGCCCCCTTTGTGGATTGGGGCTATGTCTGTTGTTTTTAGTAACTGTGGAATGACCCCAGTGTCCATGCTCCCTCTCCACAGGATGTTAAAAGCACATGATAGGGGCTTCTTGCAGTTCTTGATGAACACGGAGTTCCATGAGTCTGGCCCTGGGGTAGAGCGCATTTGCATGTCATTTATCGCCTGTTTAAAGTCATTTGGCATCAGGATGACATCAGATGGGCTTGTGTTTACCATATTCTGTGGCACTCTCATAAAAAATTCATTTAGATCTTTGACTCTCAGTCTGGTTAGCGGCTTGCTAAAAACTGAGTCATATTGGGACTTGAGTAGCTCACTCATTTCCTTGCTGTCATCTGTGTAGGACCCATCTTGTTTAAGTAGGGGCCCAATACTGGATGTTGTTCTCGACTTTGATTTGGCATAAGAAAAGAAATACTTTGGGTTTCTTTCGATTTCATTTATGGCTTTCAGTTCTTCCCGCAATTCCTGACTCCTATAAGATTCCTTTAGCTTAAGTTCGATGTTTGCTATTTCTCTGACCAGTGTCTCCCTAAGCATTGCAGATATATTGGCCTCTTTAGCCACTCTTGTTATTCTTTTCTGTTGCCTATAAAGGGAGCACCTGTCTCTTTCTGTTTTACATCTACTCCTCTTTCTTAAAGGAGGAGTAGATGTAAAATAGAAAGAGACAGGCTTCCCATTATGTCCTTGTATTGTACTGATAAAACCACTGGTTGGCAAAAATCTACATATAAAGATACCCAGATACTGCATATGTGTATAAGTCCTCATCTCCTATTCCTTAGATCAAGAACTTTTCACCCAACTGAAGGGAGGCTAATATATAAATATTAAGACTGAATTTATACTTGCATTAACTAGGCAACAATATATTTTATGATTCTGTTTCTTCGATTCAAAATAACACAAATGTATATACATTTATAATTATCTACATACAATATATACAGTGACAATATAATTTAAAAAATAAAAATTCTATTTCCAGAAGAGCTTGATCAACCAGGTTGTGATATGACTATGTAGGTGTGCAACAACAACCTAATTGACCAGGCAATCAAGAAGGAAGCCTGGGTCTTGGGCCAGGCTGCGAGGTTTGTCATGAATAATTAATGACAATATTGCACCAAAGAGTTTATGTTTCAAAATGCTTGCTTAATCCCACTTAGAGAGAATTTAAAGCCACAACGCTGCGGCCGTGACAATTCACCCAAAACTCACAATTAAATTCACAATGTGAACTCATCGCATTTGTAAGGGGGTTAAGTTTTTATCTTAATGCTAGTTTTTAACACACTTTCATCATCACTCACTCTATCACTGTCTTGCCAGAGATGTGCCGATACTACAACTCAAAACTGCAACATATCTCCACCCCAATTTTACATCAACATTAACCCTTAAACAGTCCAAACAGATCGACGTTCAAATTCGTAGTGCTACAAAAGTAGATCTACTTTTTTTTACATATTTTCAAATATAACAAAAAAAAATGTAGATAGAAGTTTTTTTTACACATTTTCAAATGTAAAGCAAAAAAGATCTACATTTTTTTACATACTTTCAGATTTTGAAAAAACGTATATATACGTTTGGACCGTTTGAGGGTTAAATAATAAAAAATTAGATGATATTTTACAGATAGTAAGACTATTATAGTTAAGGGAAGAGTTAAGCCCATAGGGGTTTCATACAGCACTGTAAGGAATGGAAGACAATCAGGTTTTCGCAGTGCTTATTTTCTCTGCCTGGATCATGAGACCTAAACTAATTACCATCCATAAGATTTTGTGCCCAACTCTCTCCTTTTCTGATATTCCTTCTTATAAACATTAATATTGACCAGATCAAAGCAATCTTTAAAGAGAGATGATCTTTCAAACACAAAATGAACCTAAATCTAAAATAATATGTTTTATATGGACAGAATTCTCAATTCATAAGGACCTCTAGCAGTTTAACCCTTGTACAGTGAAGAGATGGAGTGTGTATAGCAGTAAGATCCCATACATACAGCCCCTCTTTTTGTTGTTCCATGTTTTCTTTGACTTTCAACTGAGCCATTGCTCATTATGTTCAGTGCTTTTACCACTTTTCCAGTGTTTTCATACATCAGTTGTGTAGGAGAAGGGTGACTGGCACTGTACTTTAAGTAAATATACTGTATGTACTGTATATTAATTTTACTTTTTTGTGTTTTTTATGCCCAGCTATATTGAGCTCTTAGTATATGATAGTCTAAACACATTATCAGGTATTTTAGATGCATGTGGTAATGAAAAAACTGCTCTTTTCCTACTGCTGGTGATTTTCGCTTACCACACAAGGTCAAGAACCTACGAGCTGTACAAATGAGGCTCTCCTGTCTACAGAATTGTTTCCACTAAAGGTACACTAAGTCCTCGGCTTACGAACACATTGGAGACCTCTTGAATTCTTTATAATATTCATCATACAGGAAGCCTTCAACTTATAAACACATTGGGGACCTGTATTGTGTACAATAATGATATAATAATGAGATTATACACAATAATGATATAAGAATGATATACACAATACAGAAGATTCTCAATGTGTTTGTAAGTCGAGGACTTACTGTAGTCCTTTACAGCTAAAATCAGAAAAAAACTGCATGGACAAAATTTAGTGGTACTAAAAAAATATGAATTTTCTTGGACCTCTAATAACCCTGGCAAAGCTGAGGGCTAAACTGTATATATACAAATGTTCACATTACTGACTGTGACATAACTACATACAGAATATATTTAACATTTATCCTGGTCCCAATTCCAGGGTATACAAACTTCACCATCTAACATGACAGCATAGTAGTGGGTAATCCAGAGTCGTGCGCCTGACAACAGGGGAGAGAGACGGTAGGCAGAATCCAGAAGACGTTCAAGGCACTCAATCATCATGTTTGGCATCACCGAATCATCTTTTTCTAAAAATTCCAGTCCTAACTCTCCTTTGCACTTTTCATATAAATCCTTTTCTTTGTCCCGAATCCTGAAATGGCAAAAAATTATTATTTACTGTTATTATTATTACTATTATTCTTTCTTTCAACACACCAGCCATATCCCACCAAGGCAGGGTGGCACAAAAAGAAAAAAAAAAAATTTCTCTTTATAAATTTAGTAATGTATAAAGGAGAATGGGGTTACTAGCCCCTTGCTCCTGGCATTTTAGTCACCTCTTATGACATGCATGGTTTACGGAGGAAGAAATCTGTTCCACTTTCCCATGGAGATAAGAGGAAATAAACAAGAACAAGAACTAGTAAGAAAATAGAAGAAATCCCAGAGGGGAGTGTATATATATATGCTTGTACATACATGTGTAGTGTGACCTAAATATAAGTAGAAGTAGCAAGACGTACTTGAAATCTTGCATGTTTATGAGAAAGAATAAAGACACCAGAAATCCTACCATCATGTAAAACAATTAGAGACTTCCATTTTACACTCACTTGGCAGGATGGCAGTACCTCCCTGGGCAGTTGCTGTCTACCAACCTACTACCTAGGATTTTTATTATACTGTGGTCCCCCGTTTTTCGTAGTTCCCGGCAATCGTAAAATTCGCCAATCATAGGGGTATTTTCGTATAAACATGGACTCGCTTTTCATAGGTTGACTCGCGAGTCGTAGTTCGTCCGGGACGCGTACCCACGGCGTGACCTGGGGCGGCAGCCAGTCTGGCATTGTTTACCAGTGAGCGAAGGTCCCCTCACGTGCTCCAGCGAAATATTTCATAATATTCCATTTATTTTAGTGCTTGCAAGTACTAAATAAGCTACCATGGCTCCAAAGAAAGCTCCTAGTGCCAAGCCTGTGGTAAAGAAGGTGAGAAATACGATTGAATTTAAGAAAACCATCAATGAACAATATGAAAGTGGTACAAGTGTGGCCGAACTGTCTAGGATGTATAAGAAACCCTACACAACCTTATGTTCCATAGTGGCCAAGAAAAAGGAAATAAAGGATGCTGTTGTTGCAAAGGGAGTAACTATGCTGACAAAAATGAGATCACCAGTACTGGAAGAGGTTGAGAAGTTATTATTGGTGTGGATAAATGAGAAACAATTAGCAGGAGATACTCTTATGACTTCGATTATTTGTGAAAAGGCTAGGCAGTTGCATGAAGATTTGGTAATGAAATTGCCTGCAAATAGTGGTGAAGTGAGTGAATTTAAGGCCAGCAAAGGCGGTTTGAAGATTTAAAACCGTACTGGCAACAAGTGTGTAAGGCAGGGTGGGGCTGCCAGTTCGGCCCACAAGGCGGCTGAAAAAATATGTGCATGAATTCCGGGGAACTAGGGCTGAAGGCTAAAAACCTGAACAAGTGTTCAATGTGACGAAACGGGCCCCTTTTTTGGGAAGAAAATGCCAAAGAGGCCCCTTCTTTTCACAGGGGAAAAAGGGCAATGCCGACACAAGCCTAGAAGCAGGCTGACGTAATGTTCTGTGCTAATGCTAGGGGGATTTCAAAGTAACCCTTTACTAGGTACCATTCTAAAAACCCCCAGAGTGTTCGGGAAAAAAACAAGTTTGAGAGTAAATTTTTGGGGTTTTGGGAAAATCTAATAGAAAGGAATGGGTCACGGGGAAATTTTCGTGAGGGTTCAATAAAGGTTTGGCCCTTGTAAAGGGAGTATCTCCGGGAAAAAAATTTGGGATTCAATGCGTGTAGTAATGGACAAGACCTGCTCCCCCCTCCAAACTTGGATGCCCTAATTTTTGAGGATTTTGGGGTTTCATCCAGTAAATTTCTTGCCCCCGATACCACTCCTTCCCCCCAACCCATGACCACGGGTTATTGCAAACTTTAAAAAACTTACACAAAAGCAATGTTCACAGGTCTTGACTGTGACCACGCCCTCACTTGCCCCTAAGGAATTTTGGGAGGAAACCCACACCCTCCACTGCAAAACCCCAAAGGGTTTGGGCTTTGGGGGGGGGTGACTCCCAGGACTTTTGAACTTCCCTGGAGAAAATTGTGGCCAATTGTGTCGAAAAGAGGGTTTTTTGAGGTTTTGGGACTGACCCTAATGGCCATGTTTTTGTAAAATCAATTGTGGACTGGGGGTTCCATGGGGGTTGGATGTGAGTTTTGGGGGGATGTGGAAGAATTGGGGGAAGACCCCAATGAAGAGCTCACCATGAGGGGCGAAGAGCTTCAGCAGGAAGAGCAACACATCCAGCCAGAATTTCTGCAGAGGGGGAGGAAGAAGATGGGAAAAAGTGCCTTCTTTCAGAAATTAAAGAGATTTTTACTATGTGGGGGAAGAGGAAAACTTTTTGGAAAAAAAAACCCCTAACAAGGTTTTTGCAACCAGGGTTGGGAACAAGTACATTGACAAAGCTTGGGGCCCTTTTAGGGGAAGTGTAAAAAACCCCCGAAACAAGCTCTCCACAGTTATTTTGTGAGACGGGCCCATGATCTCAAGGGGGTCCAGTGGATTAAGAAAAGAGAGAGAAAACAACCCCCGAAAACAAAAGGGACCTGAGGGGTTTTTATGGAAGGGGGTTCCCCCTTTCCAAAATAAACAATCCACTCTCCTCCCCCTCCAGTCTCCCATACACTAAAAAATCCCAATAAAGGGAAAGGTTATGCTGTTTTAAAGTTTCATTCATCATTTCCCATTGTATTTTTTATTACTACTGGTATTCATGTTAAAAAATTTTTGTTTTAATACTTCTGGTGTCAGGAATGGGTTTAAATTTTATTTACATTATTTCTTATGGGAAACTGTTTGTAAAAACGTAAATTTCGTTTATAAACGGGTCCCGGGAAAGGTTAATTACAAAAAAGAGGGACCACGTGTTTTTCTTTTTCAACCACCGGGCCCTATCCCACCGAGGGGGGTGGCCCAAAAGGAAAAAACGAAAGTTTCTTTTACATTTGAATATAATCAGGGGAAGGGTTTCTAGTCCCCTTTTCCTGGCATTTTTGTCACCTCTTACAACAACATGGCTATGGGGGAAGAATTCGTTCCATCCCCATGGAGATAAGAAAATAAACAAACCCAAAAACTAGAAAGAAAATAGAAAAAACCCAGAGGGGTTGTATATATATCTTTTACATTATGTGTAGGTCCCAGTGTAAGTAAAGTAGCAAGACAACCTAAATTTGCATTTTATAAAAAAAAAAAATACCAGAAAACCACTATCATGTAAAACAATTTGAGACTTCCGTTTAACACTCACTTGGCAGGATGGTAGTACCTCCCTGGGGGGTTGCTGTCTACCAACCATACCTACGATTTTTATTATCATTATTATTATTATCATTATTATTTAACATGCTGGCCATCTCTCACTAAGGCAGGGTGACCTAAAAACAAAACACTTTCACCATTGTTCACATTATCATTATCTTGCCAGAGGTGCACAGATACAGTGCCTGTATGCCCTTGGAGTACAGGCAATTTACTTCCCACCTACAAGACTCACATTCAGCAACGGAAATAGTCACATTGTAAGTCATTTGTAAAAGCACTCAACTCTTATACATATTCAGGTGATAGAGAGCAGCTGTGCATGATGCACAAGCTGTACATCATGCACAGAAGCCAAACCCTCCATTTTCTATTCACCAGCAACACTGTCTCCTAATCAGTCTACTCAGATGAGGAAGTTGCTGATCCCTTCCCCTCATCTCCCTCCTACCAATTCATTCACTCACTCTCTCATTCCCTTAATTTTGTGTAACTTAACTCATTTCTTTAAGTCTTGCCTAATTTCCTTTCTTCCTCCTTCATCCTAATGCAACTCCCAATCCGTTGCCTCCCTCCCTCAGCCCTTCCTGTACCAATATGTGCCGATGCTGGCTTCAGTGAAGAGGCTTCAGTCGACACCTCTTTTGTCTCTATTCATCAATGGTTCTAGGTATGGGGGTTCTAGATATGGGTGTTCTAGATATGGGGTGTTCTAGATATAGGGGGTGTTCTAAATATGGGGTGTTCTAGATAAGGGGTTCTAGGTATGGGGTTCTAGATATGGGAGTCCAGGTATGGGGTTCTTGATACAGGGTTCTAAGTATGGGAGTCCAGGTATGGGGTTCTAGGTATGAGAGTCCAGGAATGGGGTTCTAGGTATGGGAGTCCAGGTATGAGGTTCTAAGTATGGGAGTCCAGGTATGGGGTTCTAGGTATGGGAGCCCAGGTATGGGGTTTTAGATATGGGAGTTCAGGTATGGGGTTCTATGCGCTAATGTAATTCACTTAAAAGTATTTTACTCTTAACAAAACATTCATCAGGTCACTATGTGAGGGTTCACTGTACAAGTATTAAATATAAAGTGGAAATACTGAAATAAATAATAAACTTTCTGAAACATTAATCAAATTATTACTAATATTGGCCAAGTTTCTTAGAATTGTTATTCAAAAGTAGCACTAAACCCATAAGTATTATATAGTATTCTGGGGAATCTGAAGTAATAAGTTATAAATCAAGGGAAAGCTAGCTCTAATTCCTTAGATCATATGAACTTCACTAGGATCAAGGAACCATCGTAAGCCGAAATTATCGTTAGCTGAATTAATTTTCCCCATAAGAAATAATGGAAATCAAATTAATCTGTTCCTGACACCCCAAAGTACGAAAAAACAATTTTTTTTACCACATGAAATATTAATTTTAATGCACACAAACTGAAGAAGACATGCACAATTACTACTCTACTAAGAATAGAATACATGACACTTACCTTTATTGAAGATCTGGTGATAATTGATGGGATGGGAGGAGGGGAGAGTGTGGAAGTTAGTGTTTAGAAGGGGAATCCCCTTCCATTAGGACTTGAGGTAGCAAGTCCTTTTCCGGGGCTACTTCCCTTCTTCTTTTAATGCCACTAGGACCAGCTTGAGAGTCACTGGGCCTCTGTCGCACAACAAATCTGTCCATAGAGCTCTGTATCTCCCGTTCCTTTAAGACTTTCCTAAAATGGGCCATAACATTGTCATTGTACAGGTTGCCAACAAGGCTTGCAGTAGCCGTGTCAGGGCGATTTTTGTCCGTAAAGGTTTGCAGTTCAACCCACTTTGCACATATTTCCTTAATCTATTTTTTCAATTCCATACTAATTCTCATCCTTTTTACCACAGGGATGGCACTAGAAGCTTTCCTGCTTTAGTTACAAGTACTAAAAACACTGGGATAATGTGAAATGTACCGAATGTATGCGTAGATGCGACCGCACTGGCTGGCTTGTAAACACTGGCGTTGAAGCCACACGTGGGACGCGTCCTGAATGAATCACGTAAGGCGAGTTTTTTTTATTGTGAGGTGAGGCAAAATTTTTGCATTCAAATGCTTCGTATGGCAGATTTAACGTAACGCGATGCGTTCGTAAGGCGGGGGTCCACTGTACTTTAAAAAATAATTCATATATGCCGGCATATAAGCTGACTTTTAAACCATAAAAATCTTTCAAAAATTAAGAGGTTGACTAATACATAGAGTACAAAACCTAGACAACAAACTCAAAGGCAAACGGATACAGTGGACCCTCGGTTATTGGCCATAATCCATTCCAGAAGGTCAGCTTAAATCTAAAAATGCCGAAAACCTAACTATAGTTTTACATACACAAAACAATGAGAACTAAATAAATAAATAAATGAACATTTAAATCACTATTACATACCTTTATTGAAGACTCTTGTTGGCTTATGGAAGACAGGGAGGAGGAGAGAGGGAGGACTGATTATTGTTTGTAAGGGGAATTCCCCTCCATTAGGACTTCAGGTATCAAAGCCCTCTCTGGGGTTACTTCCCTTCTTTTTCTTTTAATGCCACTAGGATCAGCTTGAGAGTCACTGCACACTCCTGTTGCACAAAAAAACTGTCCAGAGAGGTCTGTTTCTGGCATCTCTAAGATTTGCCTGGTGGGACAAGGTTTTGTCACTGAACATGTTGCAGATATAGCTTGGTTCAGCTTGATCAGTGATATTTCTCTACAAAACTTTTTTTAATTCCATCGTGTTCCTCACTTTCTTTACCAAAGGAACTTTACTAGGAACTTTCTTTGGGCCCATGGTGGCTTATTTCAAGTTGCACTCAATAAACACCCAGAAAAACAATGGAGTACGTATAATGAAATGTTTGGATGAATGCGCAGAGTCTTCCTCACTCTCCAAGAGACACAGCCAAACTGGCTCATGAATGCGGTGGAGTGGCAGGAAGGACGTGTCCAATACGGCTGATTTCCGAGTTGACAGCTAAAATCCGGGATAGAATTTCGGCCAAAAAAGCAGCCGAAATCCAAATTGGCTGATATCCAGAATGGCCGATAACTGAGGGTCCACTGTATTGGGGAGGGCTATGAAGCTCAGGGTAAACAGTTGGGTTAAGAGGTGACAATATAAGACAATTACTGAATTATCAAATGACAAAAAACTGGTACAAATGAAAATCTGAGCCAAGAATTTGTAAAAAATCAAGAAAAAAACACCAAAAACAGAAAAATTAAAGCTGGAGAAACTTTATTTTAATGCACCAGCCGTCTCACACCAAGGCAGGGTGACCTCAAATGAAAAGTGAAAATGAATCCTTCTTCCATAAGCCGTGCATGTCGTAAGAGGCGACTAAAATGCCAAGAGCATGGGGCAAGTAACCCCTTCTCCTGAATATATTACTACATGGAGAAAATAAGATGCATTATTTCCTAATACTCTCTCAACTTGACACTGCTGCAAGTAGTGCTGTCTTATTATTATTATTATTTTTTTTTTTTGGGGGGGGGGGAGGGCAAATATAAGTTTAAATCAGAATTAACACCTCAAAATTTTAGGGGTTGACTTGTACACCAGGTTGATATGTATGTTGGCACATACTGGAATTTAAATTATTAGATATGGTTACTACCAACTATTGTATTATTAATCAACCATGCTGTAAATAAAAGACAAAAACTGAAAACTGTACAAATAAGAGAGCGATCCCTATTCTGTGTACTAACAAAATAGATTCCTGAGGTCTGAGCTATTAACTTGGTACACACCTTTCATAATCATCAATTATCCTCTGTGCCTGCTCCATATTTTCTGTAATAAAGTTGACTAGCAGCCAAGGAGGACACGAGGAAGGGGCTAAGATCTGCCCAGTAGGGGACAGCATCAGTGGACCAGCAGCTCTGTAAGATAGTTGCACCACAATTAATTCCTCGCAAGGGTATTATTATACAGGAAGTCCTCAACTTACGAACACACTGGGGACCTCCTGAATTGTGTATAATATTCATAATACAGGAAGTCTTCAACTGACGAATGCATTGGGGACTTTCTGTATTGTGTATAATAATGATATTATACACAATACAAAAGATTCTCAATGTGTTTGTAAGTCAAGAACTTACTGTACAGGTGCTTCTCAACTTACAATGGTTAGACTTAAAATATTTTGACTTCACGATGGGACAAAAGCAATTACAGTAGAAACCCCGTATCCACTGATTCAATATCTGTGGTTTCAGTTATTCACTTCTTACTGTGGCCCAAAAATACCTCTTACTTTTGCAAAATAATGGCCCCAAAGTGCAAAAGAAGAGAATGGCAGTTCTTCAAAGCCTAAGAGAAGCCATTAAGTACTTCCCAACAGTGAAAAAGTGTTAATTCTCCACATACTGTGTATAATTTATCAATTAAACTTTATAATAGGTATGTATCCTAGGTAGTAGGTTGGTAAACAGCAACCGCCCAGGGAGGTACTACCGTCCTGCCAAGTGAGTGTACAACGAAAACCTATAATTGTTTTACATGATGGTAGGATTGCTGGTGTTTTTTGTCTGTCTCATAAACATGCAAGATTTCAGGTATGTCTTGCTACTTCTACTTGCACTTAGGTCACACTACACATACATGTACAAGCATATATATACACACCCCTCTGGGTATTCTTCTATTTTCTTTCTAGTTCTTGTTCTTGTTTATTTCCTCTTATCTCCACGGGGAAGTGGAACAGAATTCTTCTTCCGTAAGCCATGCGTGTTGTAAGAGGCGACTAAAATGCCGGGAGCAAGGGGCTAGTAACCCCTTCTCCCGTATAAATTACTAAATTTAAAAGAGAAACTTTCGTTTTTCTTTTTGGGCCACCCTGCCTTGGTGGGATACGGCCGGTGTGTTGAAAGAAAGAAATAGGTATGTATCCTAGGTTGTAGGTTGGTAAACAGCGACCACCCAGGGAGGTACTACCGTCCTGCCAAGTGAGTGTACAACGAAAACCTGTAATTGTTTTACATGATAGTAGGATTGCTGGTGTCTTTTGTCTGTCTCATAAACATGCAAGATTTCAGGTATGTCTTGCTAATTCTACTTGCACTTAGGTCACACTACACATACATGTACAAGCATATATATACACACCCCTCTGGGTTTTCTTCTATTTTCTTTCTAGTTCTTGTTCTTGTTTATTTCCTCTTATCTCCATGGGGAAGTGGAACAGAATTCTTCCTCTGTAAGCCATGCGTGTTGTAAGAGGTGACTAAAATGCCGGGAGCAAGGGGCTAGTAACCCCTTCTCCCATATAAATTACTAAATTTAAAAGAGAAACTTTCGTTTTTCTTTTTGGGCCACCCTGCCTTGGTGGGATACGGCCGGTGTGTTGAAAGAAAGAAAATAGGTATGTATAGGACTTATATATAGGGTTAGCTACTATCCATGGTTTTGGTATCCATGGCAGATCCTTGGAACGTATTCCTGCTGATAGGCAGATCCTTGGAATGTATCCCCGCTGATACGGGGGTCCTACTGTACTTTGGAGATGAAACTGAAGATAATTATCCAACATGACAGTGGTAAGTCCATAACTTGTATTCATTTATTTAATTTTCAATACTGGTATTTAGTTAATTACAGCAAATATTTGTTTATTTACTTACTCAGTGAATGGAGACGAATGGTATTTGGAACCTGATGAACTGTTGGAGTGTGAGCAGGGTAATATTTAGTGAAGGGATTCAGGGAAACCGGTTATTTTTATATAGCCAGACTTGAGTCCTGGAAATGGGAAGTACAATGCCTGCACTCTAAAGGAGGGGTTCGGGATATTAGCAGTTTCTAGGGATATGTTGTATATCTTTATACGTATATGCTTCTAAACTGTTGTGTTCTGAGCACCTCTGCAAAAACAGTGATTATGTGTGAGTGAGGTGAAAGTGTTGAATGACGATTAAAGTACAGTGGACCCCCGACTAACGATATTATTTCAATCCAGAAGTCTGTTCGGGTGCTGTTATAGACCGAATTTGTTCCCATAAGGAATATTGTGAATAGATTAGTCCGTTTCAGACCCTGAAAAATACACCTACAAAAGCACTTACAAAAATACTCTTACATAATTGGTCAAGTTGGGAGCTCATCGTTAGTCGGGGTCCACTGTATTTTCTTTTTGGGGATTTTCTTTCTTTTTGGGTCACCCTGCCTCGGTGGGAGACGGCCGACTTGTTGAAAAAAAAAAAAATATTCATATTCGACTTATAATATTTTCAGCTTACAATGGGCTTGTTGGAATGTAACCCCATCATAAGTCGAGAAGCACCTGCATTATACAATATTCATAGGATATATTAAACCCACAACATAACCCTATGAAGACCATCTAGGCCTTCAATATGTAATTTTATTTTTTAATACACTGGCCATCTCAAAATGAAGTAGGGTGACCCAAAAGACAGGAAGCACATCCATCATCATTCACTCAACTGCTGTCTTGCCAGAACCATACTGATATAATAGTTCAGATGGCCTTCCAAACTTCAACATCCTCACATATCCAACAGAGTGCAGACAATGTACTTCTCACCTCCAGGACTCAGGCCCGGCTAACCAGTTTCTCTGAAGTCCTTCATATATGTTACCTTGCAGGTATTTTTTTCAGTGTCCAGAGAATTTCAAGACTATCCAAAGTCTTGGGAATTCAAGGCAATCAGATTAATTCAATTTCATGGACAAAAATCTCTTCACTAACATTATGGAATTTTGAAATGATATTTTTTAAGAGAAACAATAACTTTAATTCAGAAATATACAGACACACCCATCAACGAAAGAGCCTTGGTGCCAGTGAAGGGCTCTTGATCCAAGGAGTTAGATCTATCCTTTGTATCCAACCTGATTTTCTCTCATTTCCCAGGTGCTATATGATTCATGTGAATTTAGTGCTCTCCTTGTAATTATAATTTAATAATGCACAAAGGGTGGTAGATCAATGGATGGTTTAAAAAAAAAAATTTAAGTGCAGCAACCATTACAAACTTGAAAAATCTTTACAAGTGTGATGATCTAACACCATGAACTTAGATCTACTCCTGTAGCTATAAATATGCAATCTTAAATAGGTAATCTCAAATAGGCAACCACATGGTAGTTACAACAGTGGCAAGAACCTACACAGCTGGCAACAATATTAGTAATAATAATAATAATAATGCAAGGGGCTAGTAACCCCTTCTCCTGTATATATTACTAAATGTAAAAGGAGAAACTTTCGTTTTTCCTTTTGGGCCACCCCGCCTCGGTGGGATACGGCCGATGTATTGAAAGAAAAGAAATAATAATAATAATAATAATAATAATAATAATAATAATAATAATAATAATAATAATAATAATAATAATAATAATAATAATAGGGCTAGCAACCCCTTTTTCCTGTGTAAATTACTAAATTTAAAAAGAAAAACTTTTTTCTTTTCAGGTCACCCTGCCTTGATGGGGTACTGCTGGTTTATTGAAAAAATAATAATAATAATAATAATAATAATCTTTATTTCTACTAGTACATGATACAACTTATACAGACCATAGCTGACATCAGTGACATATTATATAGAAAGCCCCTGGTTATGCAAAGCATTTTGGGCAATTAGGTTAATTTTGTTCCCAGCATGCTACCCACCAGTCAACTAACACCCAGGTACCTACCAAATGATATTTATGTAAGGCAGGCCCGGTGGCCTGGTGGCTAAAGCTTCCGCTTCACACACAGAGGGCCTGGGTTTGATTCCCGGCGGGTGGAAACATTTTGACACGTTTCCTTACACCTGTTGTCCTGTTCACCTAGCAGCAAATAGGTACCTGGGTGTTAGTCGACTGGTGTGGGTCGCATCCTGGGGGACAAGATTAAGGACCCCAATGGAAATAAGTTAGACAGTCCTCGATGACGCACTGACTTTCTTGGGTTATCCTGGGTGGCTAACCCTCCGGGGTTAAAAATCCGAACGAAATCTTATCTTATCTTATCTTATGCAGCACTATCAGATAATTTCAGTCACATTGTAAACTTTTACGATCAAAATTACTGAGAAGAAAACTGTGTACTTACGACTCTACTACGAGCTGTAAAGATGACAACGTCTGTGGCCAAGATTTTGGGAATCCTTCACGGCCCTGGTAATCTCCCAGGGATGTGACCAGACGCCTCAGATGCTGAATGTAATGTTCCACAAGAACAAATGGCTGGTACTTTCTGAAAAATAAGTCCACATTTTCAAAAAATGGAAGACAAGAGAAAGAGGAAGAAGACAAATGAGTGGCAAAGAATGAGAAACCAGGATAAATTACAGATTTAAAATAAATATGAAAGACCAGGGATGAAAATGAAAAAATGAACAGAAAGAAATTCAAGATTATATGGCAATTTTTATTAACACAGCGGCCGTCTCCCCTCGAGGCAGGGCGACCCCAAAAATTTTTTTTTTTTTTTTAATAAGTCGGCCGTCTCCCACCGAGGCAGGGTGACCCAAAGAGAAAGAAAATCCCCAAAAAGAAAATACTTTCATCATCATTCAACACTTTCACCACACTCACACATAATCACTGTTTTTGCAGAGGTGCCCAGAATACAACAGTTTAGAAGTATATACGTATAAAAATACACAATATATCTCTCCAAACTGTCAATAACCCAAAGCCCTCCTTTAGAGTGCAGGCATTGTACTTCCCATTTCCAGGATTCAAGTCCGGTTATATAAAATAACCGGTTTCCCTGAATCCCTTCACTAAATATTACCCTGCTCACACTCCAACAGATCGTCAGGTCCCAAATACCATTTATCTCCATTCACTCCTATCTAACACGCTCACGCACGCTTGCTGGAAGTCCAAACCCCTCGCCCACAACACCTCCTTTACCCCCTCCCTCCAACCTTTTTGAGGACGACCCCTACCCCGCCTTCCTTCCCCTACAGATTTATACGCTCTCCATGTCATTCTACTTTGATCCATTCTCTCTAAATGACCAAACCACCTCAACAAACCCTCTTCAGCCCTCTAATACTTTTATTAACTCCACACCTTCTCCTAATTTCCACACTCCGAAATTTCTGCATAATATTTACACCACACATTGCTCTTAGACAGGACATCTCCACTGCCTCCAACTGCCTCCTTGCTGCAGCATTTACAACCCAAGCTTCACACCCATATAAGAGTGTTGGTACTATTATACTTTCATACATTCCCTTCTTTGCCTCCAAAGATAACATTTTTTGCCTCCACATATACCTCAATGCACCACTCACCATTTTTTCTTCATCAATTCTATGATTAACCTCATCCTTCATAAATCCATCCGCCGACATGTCAACTCCCAAGTATCTGAAAACATTCACTTCTTCCATACTCCTCCTCCCCAACTTGATATCCAATTTTTCTTTATCTAAATCATGTGATACTCTCATCACCTTACTCTTTTCTATGTTCACTTTCAACTTTTTACCTTTACACACATTCCCAAATTCGTCCACTAACCTTTGTAATTTTTCTTTAGAATCTCTCATAAGCACAGTATCATCAGCAAAAAGTACCTGTCACTTCCCATTTTGTATTTAATTCCCCATAATTTAATCCCAACCTTCTCCCGAACACCCTAGCATTTACTTCTTTTACAACTCCATCTATAAATATATTAAACAACCATGGTGACATTACACATCCCTGTCTAAGACCTACTTTTACCGGGAAGTAGTCTCCCTCTCTTCTACACACCCTAACCTGAGCCTCACTATCCTCATAAAAACTCTTTACAGCATTTAGTAACTTACCACCTATTCCATATACTTGCAACATCTGCCACATTGCTCCTCTATCCACTCTATCATATGCCTTTTCTAAATCCATAAATGCAATAAAAACTTCCCTACCTTTATCTAAATACTGCTCATATATATGCTTCAATGTAAACACTTGATCTACACATCCCCTACCCACTCTAAAACCTCCTTGCTCATCCGCAATTCTACATTCTGTCTTACCTCTAATTCTTTCAATAATAACCCTACCGTACACTTTTCCTGGTATACTCAGTAAACTTATTCCTCTATAATTTTTACAATTTCTTTTGTCCCCCTTCCCTTTATATAAAGGGACTATACACGCTCTCTGCCAATCCCTAGGTACCTTCCCCTCTTTCATACATTTATTAAACAAAAATACCAACCACTCCAACACTATGTGCCCCCCTGCTTTTAACATTTCTGTCATGATCCTGTCAGTTCCAGCTGCTTTACCCCCTTTCATTCTACGTAATGCCTCACGCACCTCCACCACACTCACATCCTGCTCTTCTTCACTCCTAAAAGATGGTATACCTCCCTGGCCAGTGCATGAAATTACCGCCTCCCTTTCTTCGTCGACATTTAAAAGTTCCTCAAAATATTCTCGCCATCTACTCAAAACCTCCATCTCCCCATCTACTAACTCCCCTTCTCTGTTTTTAACTGATAAATCCATTTGTTCCCTAGGCTTTCTTAACTTGTTTAACTCACTCCAAAATTTTTTCTTATTTTCATTAAAATTCCTTGACAGTATCTCTCCCAAAAAAAGATTATAATTATTATAATCATAGGTAAGTGCTAAACCTACAAAGATCATACAGCGCTGAAGAAGAAGAAGAAATTAGAGTTTTTCTTCTTTTTTACATTTAGTAATTTATCTTGAAACTATTTCCTGCTGTAAATTTTATTGGCATTTCTCTCAAAGACATTGTGACACAGAGAATAACACATACAGTGGTACCTTGAGTTTCGGCCGCCTCCCAACTCAAACAGTTATGCAAGTGCATTATTGTAAGTGCTTTTGTGAGTGTATTTTTGGGGATGTGAAATGGACCAATTTAATTTACATTATTCCTTGTGGGAACAAATTCATCTGGCAACGGCACTCGAACAGCCTTCTGGAATGAATTATGGCTGAAACTCTGGGTTCCACTGTATTTCCCACCAAGAAAAGTTCTACCATCCTGTCATATGATCATGACATGGAGCCTGTTCAGTGTTTTGCACTCTGGCAGAGGTGTTCAGGTAAATTTTACTAAACCTCTGATTTATTTTATTATCAGCACACTGGCCAATTCCCACCAAGGCAGGGTGGCCCGAAAAAGAAAAACTTTCACCATCATTCACTCCATCACTGTCTTGCCAGAAGGGTGGTTTACACTACAGTTTTAAACTGCAACATTAACACCCCTCCTTCAGAGTGCAGGCACTGTACTTCCCATCTCCAGGACTCAAGTCCGGCCTGCCAGTTTCCCTGAATCCTTCATAAATGTTACTTTGCTCACACTCCAACAGCACGTCAAGTATTAAAAACCATTTGTCTCCATTCACTCCCATCAAACACGCTCACGCATGCCTGCTGGAAGTCCAAGCCCCTCGCACACAAAACCTCCTTTACCCCCTCCCTCCAACCTTTCCTAGGCCGACCCCTACCCCGCCTTCCTTCCACTACAGACTGATACACTCTTGAAGTCATTCTGTTTTGCTCCATTCTCTCTACATGTCCGAACCACCTCAACAACCTTTCCTCAGCCCTCTGGACAACAGTTTTGGTAATCCCGCACCTCCTCCTAACTTCCAAACTACGAATTCTCTGCATTATATTCACACCACACATTGCCCTCAAACATGACATCTCCACTGCCTCCAGCCTTCTCCTCGCTGCAACATTCATCACCCATGCTTCACACCCATATAAGAGCGTTGGTAAAACTATACTCTCATACATTCCCCTCTTCGCCTCCAAGGACAAAGTTCTTTGTCTCCACAGACTCCTAAGTGCACCGCTCACCCTTTTCCCCTCATCAATTCTATGATTCACCTCATCTTTCAAAGACCCATCCGCTGACACGTCCACTCCCAAATATCTGAATACATTCACCTCCATACTCTCTCCCTCCAATCTGATATCCAATCTTTCATCACCTAATCTTTTTGTTATCCTCATAACCTTACTCTTTCCTGTATTCACTTTTAATTTTCTTCTTTTGCATACCCTACCAAATTCATCCACCAACCTCTGCAACTTCTCTTCAGAATCTCCCAAGAGCACAGTGTCATCAGCAAAGAGCAACTGTGACAACTCCCACTTTATGTGTGATTGTTTATCTTTTAACTCCATGCCTCTTGCCAAGACCCTCGCATTTGCTTCTCTTACAACCCCATCTATAAATATATTAAACAACCATGATGACATCACACATCCTTGTCTAAGGCCTACTTTTACTGGGAAATAATCTCCCTCTTTCCTACATACTCTAACTTGAGCCTCACTATCCTCGTAAAAACTCTTCACTGCTTTCAGTAGCCTACCTCCTACACCATACACCTGCAGCATCTGCCACATTGCCCCCCTATCCACCCTGTCATAAGCCTTTTCCAAATCCATAAATGCCACAAAAACCTCTTTAGCCTTATTTAAATACTGTTCAATTATATGTTTCACTGTAAACACCTGGTCCACACACCCACTTCCTTTCCTAAAGCCTCCTTGTTCATCTTCTATCCTATTCTCTGTCTTACTCTTAATTCTTTCAATAATAACTCTACCATACACTTTACCAGGTATACTCAACAAACTTATCCCCCTATAATTTTTGCACTCTCTTTTGTCCCCTTTGCCTTTATACAAAGGAACTATGCATGCTCTCTGCCAATCCCAAGGTATCTTACCCTCTTCCATACATTTATTAAATAATTGCACCAACCACTCCAAAACTATATCCCCACCTGCTTTTAACATTTCTATCTTTATCCCATCAATTCCGGCTGCTTTACCCCCTTTCATTTTACCTACTGCCTCACGAACTTCCCCCACACTCACAACTGGCTCTTCCTCACTCCTCTGATTTATTAAACATTAATTCAGAGAATAATTTAAATATAATGAACACTTCTCAATACTCAATAATAACCCACATGCAGACAAAAATAATTTTTTTAATGTTAACACATCGGCCATTTCCCAGCAAGGCAGGGTGGCCCGAAAAAGAAGAAACACTCTCATCATCACTCACTCCATCACTGTCTTGCCAGAGATGCACAGACACTACAGTTAGAAACAACAGAAAAATCTTACCGATGAGTTACTTGAATCTCTCTTAAAGCATTCGAAACCGCTTTCTGCATGCCTGGTATTCGGCGAATCATTGGCTCTTGCTCGGGAAGTTTGCATATAACCTATAAACACATGCCTTTGGTGAAATATTATGAGGAATTTGTTCTGCACGATTATAAATATTATTTGTAGCAATTTTAGTAGTGTAATTTGTATATGGAAGGGGCAATGCCCCACCCAAAACTATTAACAAACATGATTTATATACAGTGGTACCTTGATTTACGAGTTTAATTTGTTCTGTGACCAAGCTCATAACTCAATTTGCTTGCATATGAAATCAATTTTCCTCACTGAAATTAATTGAAATGCCATTAATCCATTCCACCCCCGAAGAAACCACCCCAATTTTTTTTGTTATGGGTTTCTAAATTAGAAATATTGTACAAAAACATAATGAAACATAATAAAAGAGAATATAAAGAAACAAACTGGTTTTATAAAGTGTATTTACATTGGAGATCAGACGACTTGGGCTAACAGACAATGCTGGTGGAGGTGGAGACTGGAAAACATAGGCAGAGCAGATAGGCTTACTAGCTTAACTTGCTACACTCTTCACTACTCCACCCACCACCCTCACTACTCCACCCACCACCCTCACTACTCCACCCACCACCCTCACTACTCCAACCACCACCTTTACTACTCTACCCACCACTATCACTATTCCACCCACCACCCTACTCTACCCACCACTATCACTATTCCACCCACCACCATCACTATTCCACCCACCACCATCACTACTCCACCCACCACCCTCACTACTCCACCCACCACAATTTCTACTCCACCCACCATCATCTCTACTCCACCTACCAACCATCTCTACTACACCCATCACCCTCACTACTTCACCCACCACCATATCTACTACACCCACCATTATCACTACTCCACCCACCACCATCACTACTCCACCCACCGCTACCAGTACTCCACCCACTGAAGGAACCTCCGTGAGGCAGGTAAATATCATGGAGGCCTTCCTTAATGTTTCTGGAAAAACTCTGAGTGTTGAAACGGAGGTTACCTCGTCCCCGGATTTATATGAGAACCAAACAAGGGACAAGGTGCCTCACTACAATCTGGGATTAGTGTGGGAGTATTATCCTTCCAGTTATGTCTTGGAAGAGCATGTAGGATGGGGTGAAGTACCTGACATTCCTCTGGGTACAGAGTTGGATTTGACTTCAGATACACCTCCAACTAGTGGCAGCGTATCTGAAGCTCGCTCGTAACTCGGATTTTGGCTCGCAACTCACAGCAAAAAATCGACCAAGCAACGGCTCATAACTCAAAAAACTCATAAGTTGGGGCACTCATAGGTCAAGGTACTACTCTATTCTTTACAGTGAATCCTGCTACCTGTCACCTGATATATACAGTTAACTACCAGCTATCACCTGATATATACAGTTAAGCTACCTATCACCTGGTATATACAGTTAACTACCAGCTACCTATCACCTGATATATACAGTTAACTACCAGCTACCTATCACCCCAATATCTACAGTTAACTACCAGCTACCTATCACCTGATATATACAGTTAACTACCAGCTACCTATCACCTGGTATATACAGTTAACTACCAGTTACCTATCACCCGATATCTACAGTTAACTACCAGCTACCTCTCACCTGGTATATACAGTTAACTACCAGCTACCTATCACCTGATATATACAGTTAACTACCAGCTACCTATCACCCAATATCTACAGTTAACTACCAGCTACCTATCACCTGATATATACAGTTAACTACCAGCTACCTATCACCTGGTATATACAGTTAACTACCAGTTACCTATCACCCGATATCTACAGTTAACTACCAGCTACCTCTCACCTGGTATATACAGTTAACTACCAGCTACCTATCACCTGATATATACAGTTAACTACCAGCTACCTATCACCTGGTATATACAGTAATGCCATCTTCCACGTCAAAGTTAGGTTTACGACAAAATAATAATAATAATAATAATAATAATAATAATAATAATAATAATTTTATTTCAGCATAATACAATGTTTGTACAGAGATGGGTGACAGCTATACATGCAGAAAGTTCATAGTTATGCAGAGTATTTTCATCCAGCAGAAGATCAAGAGTAAGATGGGGGCAGTGAGGCAATATATGCACTCAATATGAAATGCTCTAGGTAGTAGGTTGGTAGACAGCAACCACCCAGGGAGGTACTACCATCCTGTGGTAGTAGGTTGGTAGACAGCAACCACCCAGGGAGGTACTACCGTCCTGTGGTAGTAGGTTGGTAGACAACAACCACCCAGGGAGGTACTACCATCCTGTGGTAGTAGGTTGGTAGACAGCAACCACCCAGGGAGGTACTACCACCCTGTGGTAGTAGGATGGTAGACAGCAAACACCCAGGGAGGTACTACCATCCTGTGGTAGTAGGTTGGTAGACAGCAACCACCCAGGGAGGTACTACCATCCTGTGGTAGTAGGTTGGTAGAAAGCAACCACCCAGGGAGGTACTACCGTCCTGTGGTAGTAGGTTGGTAGACAACAACCACCCAGGGAGGTACTACCGTCCTGTGGTAGTAGGTTGGTAGACAGCAACCGCCCAGGGAGGTACTGCCGTCCTGCCAAGTGAGTGTAAAATGAAAGCCTGTAATTGTTTTACATGATGGTAGGACTGCTGGTGTCCATTTTTCTGTCTCATGAACATGCAAGGTTTCAGGTACATCTTGCTACTTCTACTTACGCTTAGGTCACACTACACATACATGTACAAGCATATATATACATACATACCCCTCTGGGTTTTCTTCTATTTTCTTTCTAGTTCTTGTTCTTGTTTATTTCCTCTTATCTCCATGAGGAAGTCAAACAGAATTCTTCATCCGTAAGCCATATGTGTCGTAAGAGGCAACTAAAATGCCGCTAGCAAGGGGCTAGTAACCCCTTCTCCTGTATATACATGTATTACTAAATGTAAAAGGAGAAACTTTCGTTTTTCCTTTTGGGCCACCCCGTCTCGGTGGGATACGGCCGGTGTGTTGAAAGAAGAAAGAAGAATATGAAATACCTTGTATATTTATATATTACAAAATAAAAGAGCATTTCCATAATATTTAAAAGATATCCAGTATAACAGCCAATATTTTTCTAATGCAAAATAGATAGTTTATGATACAGTGCAACATTGCACTGTAATCTCTGGAAGTTTTAGCAGTAAAGGTCGAGAACCAAAACCTAGTCATTGTGGTAGTCTACAAGCCTCCGGATGCAACATCCCAGCAATTCCAGGAACAGCTGTTAAAATTTGACCACTGTCTGGAAAATCTTCCAGCTCCTGCACCCAACATCTTGCTCCTGGGGGATTTCAACTTAAGGCACCTAAAATGGAGGAATATAGCAAATAATATTGTTGCAGTAATAACACCAGGAGGCAGCTCTGATGAAAACTCACACTCACACGAGCTTTTAAATCTCTGCACAAAATTCAATTTAAACCAGCAAATAATAGAGCCTACTAGACTGGAGAATACACTAGACCTCATCTTCACTAACAATGATGATCTGATAAGAAATGTCACCATATCAAAAACAATATACTCAGCTCACAACATAATTGAGGTTCAGACATGCATGCGTGGGAGCCCCAGACCGACATAATGAGATTAGTCACGAGGGAGCATTCACCAAATTCAACTTCAATAACAAAAACATGGAACTCCGTGTTCATCAAGAACTGCAAGAAGCCCCTATCACGAGCCTTTTCCATCCTATGGAGAGGGAGCATGGACACGGGGGTCGTCCCACAGTTACTAAAAACAACAGACATAGCCCCACTCCACAAAGGGGGCAGTAAAGCAACAGCAAAGAACTACAGACCGATAGCACTAACATCCTATATCATAAAAATCTTTGAAAGGTTCCTAAGAAGCAAGATCACCACCCATCTAGAAACCCATCAGTTACACAACCCAGGGCAACATGGGTTTAGAACAGGTCGCTCCTGTCTGTCTCAACTATTGGATCACTACGACAAGGTCCTAGATGCACTAGAAGACAAAAAGAATGCAGATGTAATATATACAGACTTTGTAAAAGCCTTCGACAAGTGTGACCATGGCGTAATAGTGCACAAAATGCGTGCTAAAGGAATAACAGGAAAAGTCAGTCGATGGATCTATAATTTCCTCACTAACAGAACACAGAGAGTAGTCGTCAACAGAGTAAAGTCCGAGGCAGCTACGGTGAAAAGCTCTGTTCCACAAGGCACAGTACTCGCTCCCATCTTGTTCCTCATCCTCATATCCGACATAGACAAGGATGTCAGACACAGCACCATGTCTTCCTTTGCAGATGACACCCGAATCTGCATGACAGTGTCTTCTATTGAAGACACTGCAAGGCTCCAGGCGGACATCAACCAAATCTTTCAGTGGGCTGCAGAAAACAATATGAAGTTCAACGATGAGAAATTTCAATTACTCAGATATGGTAAACACGAGGAAATTAAATCTTCATCAGAGTACAAAACAAATTCTGGCCACAAAATAGAGCAAAACACCAACATCAAAGACCTGGGAGTGATCATGTCGGAGGATCTCACCTTCAAGGACCATAACATTGTATCAATCGCATCTGCTAGAAAAATGACAGGATGGATAATGAGAACCTTCAAAACTAGGGAGGCCAAGCCCATGATGACACTCTTCAGGTCACTTGTTCTATCTAGGCTGGAATATTACTGCACACTAACAGCACCTTTCAAGGCAGGTGACCTAGAAAATGTACAGAGAACCTTCACGGCGCACATAACGGAGATAAAACACCTCAATTACTGGGAGCGTTTGAGGTTCCTAAACCTGTATTCCCTGGAACGCAGGCGGGAGAGATACATGATTATATACACCTGGAAAATCCTAAAGGGACTAGTACCGAACTTGCACACGAAAATCACTCACTACGAAAGCAAAAGACTTGGCAGACGATGCAACATCCCCCCAATGAAAAGCAGGGGTGTCACTAGCACGTTAAGAGACCATACAATAAGTGTCAGGGGCCCGAG